CCGAGTGTGGTGGCTTCAGCAAGCACAGCCAGGTCCTGGTGGCCGGCACAGCGTGGACACAGAGGTAAGGAGGAGGCTAGGTCTCAGTGCCAGTGACTAGACGGAGGAGCTGAGCGAATCTGGCCCATGGAGCGCTGGGAGGCAGCAGGAGCCCCATCCGCTCTCCGTCACGCGCTCACAGAAGATGGAAGGGTGGCCTTTCCCAGCTCCACAGCCGTGGCCTCTCCAAGGTGTTCTTGGCACTCCCTGCTCTGTGACTTTGCTAAACCCTCCCTTTCCCTCTGTGGACAAGGAGCTCCAGACCCAGCCACAGGGGACTGAGCAGGGTGCCGGCCTGTCGCACGGTAGCTATGCAGCCCCTGCTCCCTCATGCAGGTGCTGCTTCACTGGTAAATAAGCTGCAAATTGACGCTGCCTTCACAGGGCTGATGTGGGAATTAAGAGACTGCATGTGAGTGCCGCTGGACAGGGCGCCACACACACATGCGCTCACGAGCACACGCATACATGGCCACCCCGCACACATGTGCACGCCGTGGCTGGCTGATGTCCAGCGGGGAACACGGACCTGCTCCACAGGCCTTCTAATGAGCTGCTGGGGTTGGTCTGCTTCAAAACCAGGCAGGGAGCAAAGCCAGCCTTGCCCGATGCCAGCCCCTCCGTCACGCTCTCCTCACCCATGGCGCCCTAGAGCGAGCCTGACATGGCTTCCTCCTGGGCTCCCTGGCCACCTGGCTCCAACCCCACCTCTGTATCACACACGGGTGCCCTCTGCACACCAACAGCTAAAGGCAAAGGCATCTCTGGATGTCTCTGTCCCCAACATCCCTGCAGAGGGCAACGTATCCCCAACTCCATTCCCAGCACACACCCTTTGTTCCAGAATCGTCACGTTCCGTAATGAGCCCTTCCCAGCACCCTCGCACCACTCGGCACAGCTCACCCCTCCACTGTGGCACACGAGGAGCTTTCAAGAGCTCTCTGCAGCCCCGAGCCTTCCACAGCTTCCTTCGAGGGTCACACCTGCTATCACCACTGGGTGGACGAGGTCCCCCAGTCTTGGGCTGGGCCAGCCTGGGAGGCCACGCAGCGCTTACCAGTCCTCTCTGGAAGGCTCCATGAGCTGTGGCTGGTCACACAGGCTCGAACCCCAGAGTGGCCTCTCCCCACCCCAGCGCGGTGCCGCCCTCTCTGAGGCCCTCCTGGCCCTGCTGTGACCTCCTCAGGCCACCCTCCCGGAGGAAAGTGCCCCCACCCTGTGCTTCCTTACAATCCACTTGACACCGAGGCCAGGCAATGCTTCATTCTTTGGTGTCTTCATTCCAAAATCTTTAATAACCCCCACACCTGTGAAATAAAGTTCAGCCAGGTGTGCCTGGAACCGCACACTCTCTGCGTGGACGGAGCATCCCTGAGTGTCCCCGCACACAGGCCACAGAGTGGCCAACCATCCTCCAAGCATCTTCCCAGCCCACTCTGCCACGTCCATGTCTGTGCCCCCACCTGACATCCAGCCCTCCAGGCCCTTCCCAGGGCTTCCCGTTCAGTACAGGCCAGCCCTACCCACAGAGCGTCTCAGCCCCACTCCTCCTGCAGAAGGTGACCCTGTCTCCCAGTAGGCCTGGTGCCACCTGCAACCCCAGCCCACACCCTGGATGACTGAGGGGTGAACAGGTGGCTGCAGGGCTGCAGGTGTGAAGGTCAGAGGTGATGCTCATCAGAGAAGGCAGAGCCAGGCAGCCCCGTGTAAGGGGTCCGCCTGGGCCAGACCACCTATTCAGAGTTGAGGGGGGGGGGCACAAAGGGGGGGACAGGGGGGGGCCAATGAGGGCTCCGGGTGAGGCGGGCCGAATTTACTGCTATGCAGGGTTGCTTCCCGCCAGGGTCAGGAGCCTCACAGGTGGTCAGGGACAGGTGGAGGAGCTGAGTGCGGGGCACCAGGGAAGGCCAGGGGCAGGACAGGCAGGTGACAGCCACGCACGACCCAGAGGTGGCTGCCGAGGCAGAGCGCGTTCCACTTTAACCCCAAGGAGAAGAGGGGAATGGAGGTGCCTGGAGAGGGGGCGAGGCTGGAGAAAGGGCGGGCTGGAAGTGCAGGGCTCGGCATCCCTGGGGAAGGGCCGGCTGGTTCACATCACCCTGGGGAGGAGGATGGGGATGACTCACGCTGTCCACTGCGAGGATCTTGGCCCAGATGAACACGAGGAGGGGCCGCAGCTCTCGGGCCGAGCTCTGGAGCAGCTTCAGCACGTAGGGGAAGATGCCGACAGACAAGGCCTGGGGAGAGGGAGGGTGTCAGCGCGCCAAGGCTCTGCCTGTGCCCGCGGGGAGAGAACCGCAGCAGCGGGGGCCATGCAGGGCCCGCTGTGGCGTCATCTTCAGCACATACGAGAAACGAGACAGGAATGAACGCGTCTCACTGAGAGTAAAGCAGGGCTTCCTCCAGCTTTATCTGTCTCTCATTTATTCCTAGAAGTTGCCATGTGTCGCCAGCCTTGACTGGTGTCAACAGAACGGAATTAATTGGGTGGCAGCTTTTCTTTGTTGAGGCGCAGGCTGCTGGCGGCGGGGGCCCGTGCCTCTCTTTGGTGGCCTTGTCCGCGTCAGCAACAGAGCCTTGGGCACCTTTGCTGTTCCACTCACATACGGGCCATGGCCACCGCTCCGTGATGGCGCGGCCAGCTGGCTCACACTGACATTTGCGCTTGAGATACCTCTTGGGAGAGAGACGCCTGCCCTGGCAAAGGCAGAGAGGAGCATGGCTCTCCCCGGGGCTCACTGGCACCCGGATCTGGCCACGTGTCATTCTCAGGGGACTCTGTCCTCAGAGGCAGGGGAGGGAGAGAGTGGAGGGCACTGCAGTGTGAGTGACGCCCGGCAAAGTGGGCTGCACTCAGCCAGGGGTTTCTGCTGTGTCCTTATCTCAAAGCTGCTGGAATTTCAAAGCTATCCCAATGGTATCCACTTCCAATAAATGAGGTCCCCTGTAACCAAGACAGGAGATGGTGGTGGGACCCAGGCCTGGGCCCCTTCCCTTTGAAAGGTCACACTTAACAAGGAACGAGGCATTTCCCTGGTTCAGGAGGCCAGGCCCCCACCTGAGAGCCAAAACCTGTACCTGTAAAAATACCTCATTTATCCAGCCTCGGCTCATGCACCAGCAATACTTCCAACGAGCAGAAGCTTAATTCTTTAAAGGCAGAAAATGGTTTTAAAAAATTAACCTTAAAAATGAAACTCTTCCTAAAATGCTATGAATACACGCTTCCTGTCTTCTTAAAGGGTGTAAGTAACAGCATGCAGGCCTTTCCAGGATGACTCAGCGACACCACCACACACACCGAGTGACCGAGTCACGTCAGCCCTCCACCGATGACTCAGGCCTCCACTCTGTCACAAGCTATTTGTGGCCTCAGGGACCTGGGGTGAAAACGGCCCAGTGATGAGTGCCGAAGTGTTCTTCCTGGTGTTGGACGATTTCCTCCCTCCTTCAATGCTGGACTGTCAATCACGATTTCCTCCCTCCTTCAATGCTGGACTGTCAATCACCACCCTTTGCCAACGTTATATGACGACAAAACTTAAACGCACCAAACCCCAGGTACTCCCCACCCACCTTCCGTGAGAGCGGTTCTGCACCCCCCGCCCCACGGCGCCTCTCACAAGCGTGGAAATTAGGGTTTATATGTCACGTGATTCATTGACCATTTAGTGTCTCTCTCTAAAAAAATTAGCTGTCTTTCATAAAAACACGATCCAGTACCATTACCACACCCAAGAAAAACAAACTGATCGTTGAACACCATAAATCCAGCTCCTGTAAAATTTCTAATTGCTTCATGAATATTCATCTTTGGAACTTCAGTGGAGCCCAGGGAGGCCTGCGGGCCGCGGGACTCTCCAGCTTCCTGGAATCTGCGTCCCTCTGCCTCCTTTCACTTTCCTCGTGAGTTATTTGTTAAAATGCTCGTCACTGCTTCATCCTGACTCTGCCTGGCTTTTGTTTTTGTGTCCACCACGACTCTGCTATGGAATGAGGACCAGAAGAGCATTTCCAAACCGTGCCTGCCAGGAGGCTGGGCAGACAGGGCTGAGAATCCAGACTCCTCCCAAGGGAAGCAGCAGCACCACGAGGTGGGCGCAGTGTCAGGCTCAGGGGCGCCCTGCTCCTCGGCAGCGCTGGGCAGCTGCTCAGGGACAGGGGACCCGCCCACAACACGCTCTCCTGTGTCTAACATCAGACACGAAGGGGCCGAAAACCCCAGAACCGCAAATGCCAGGCAGCACTGCAGGCCGCACAGGCACAGAGTGCGCTCCTGAGGGCCTCGGGATCGACAGGACGCCACCATGGTGGAAACTTGCCCCGGGTCTCATGGCTGGGGGCGGCTCTGGACCCTGAAACACGTGCACAGACTGAAACACAGAGCGTCATTTCTGCCCACCTCCCTCAGTCCCCAGGTTGATGCGGAAGGCACGCACCAGGCTCACCGCCCAGGGACCCAGGTCCAGAAATCTTCCCAGCAAGTCCAGTGCTCTCAGCCGGTGCACTTGGCTTAACAGCACCTGGAAGAATAAGAAGAAAACACTGTCAGTGCGAAAGCAAACTCACGTGCAGCCCCTGAAAAGCCCCCACTGCGAGCTGCCAGCTTCGGGGCGGTCTGATCACAGTTTCCATCCGTCTGCTGGTTCAGCCACTCAGTTACCTACAGCTGCAGCTCACGCTTGTAGGTAGGTTAAGAAAACACTCTTTATGCCTTGATTACACAGGTAAAATATGCTCAATGCAGAAAGTATGAGAACAGACACGTCTGCTTGCATTTAAAAAGCTAACTCACTGGTGACATTTCAGCACGGGAGCCCACACACTGGTCTCTCTGTACACACTTCTCTTAAAGGTTCCAAACTAGATAATATATGATTACATTGCTCCTCTCTTTTTCTTTTTTTGAGATGAAGCCTTGCTCTGTTGCCCAGGCTGGAGTGCAGTGGCACAATCCTGGCTCAGTGCAGCCTCAGCCTCCTGGGTTCAAGTGATCTCCTGCCTCAGCCTCCTGAGTAGCTGGGATTATAGGCACCCGCCACCATGGTGGCTAATTTTTGTATTTTCAGTAGAAACGGGGTTTCACCATGTTGGTCAGGCTGGTCTTGAACTCTCGACCTTAGGTGGTCCGCCCGCCCCGGCCTCCCAAAGTGCTGGGATTCCAGGTGTGAGGCACCGCGCTGGGTCTTTCACATCTCCTTTTTAAACTAAATAATGCACCGTGAACGTGGTAAGGACTGGCCACATCACTCCCAACAGCAGCACAGTGCTTCTTTTATGTAAATGTACACAATTCTTTTAAACAACTTCCCCACTGATAGATAGTTATGTCATCAAAATGTTCCTACTTTTAAAATGTTTATTTATTTATTTTTGAGATAAGGTCTTGCTCTGCTGCCCAGGCTAGAGTACAGTGACGTGATCGTGGCTCACTGCAGCCGCAAACCCCTGGGCTGAAGTGATCCTCCCACCTCACTTCTGAGTGGCTGGGACCACGGGGAGGTGCCACCACGCCTGGCTTAGCTTTGTATTTTATAGAGACGGGGTCTTGCTACATTGCCACGCACGTCTTGAACTCCCGGCTCAAGCGTTTCTCCCGCCTCAGCCTCCGGAAGTGTTGGGCTGCTCTTATAAATAATACTGTGGTCAATATCCTAATGGATACGTCTGCACACTCCGATGATTTTCTCCCCCTAAGATAAATCTGAGTACTAAAAAGGGAAGGTCAGAGCACATATGCTTAAGTTCCCAAATGACCCTCTGGCTGAGCCCACTCACATCTCGACGGCACGCACGTGGGCGCCAGCTTCTCGCCGCCTGAGCTGGTCACCCAGCAGTGTTCACTGAGGTTTGACTCTGGGCAAATCACTGAACATTGGCGAGCCTTGATTTATTAATTCATAAAACACATATGACACAACACATGTGACACACAGGCTTTCATAAATAATAAATGACTCGTGGGACAACAGCAGCCTCTATTACACTATTATTGGCCACCAGGACAGGCGAAAACATCCTTTGAGTCTGGATTTCTTGGATTTCAAGGGGAGTACCTTTTGCAGTTTGACGGGCCATTTCCTGAGTAAACTTCAGTGTTCTACTTCAATAGTTGGCTTTTTCTTACTGACATGTCAGAGTTCCTTATAAATTAGAGTGGGCTTTGCCAGAGGTTTTGCAAGTACTTTCTTTTTGTTGTTATATCAAATTTTTACATTTTTAATGGCTTTATTTCTATTGATTTTTCCTTAATGGTGTCTACGCTGGGGGACACGTGCACCAAGACCCTTACACCCAGAGCGTTTCCATCCACGATGCTCCAGTTATCCAAGGGGTGTTTATGGGCGGGTGCTGTGCTGGGTGCTGGGAGAGTGACCACGGACAGTAGGGACCGCCCCACCCATCCTTCACGTGGCCGGGGAGACAGGCAAGTGACTGCCCCATCACCACACCTGAACACAGAGCCGCGAGCCCTGACCTGGCTCCAGAAACTGGAGGCCTCAAAGATTTTCCCTTCCTCCCTGGGAGAAGATGCACAGGACACAGGCGGGCAGTGGGTCCTGGAGGTGACGTGAGTGGGCTACTGCGGTGCAGGTGGAGAGGCTGGAAGAAGTCGGGTGTCTGAGGACACGTGGGCCACCAGTCTGACTGAGGACAGCGACGGGGGCGGGGGGGCGGACTGGGAAAGGCCCCGCAGATGGTGGGCATAGAGGTCAGTTTGTCTGCTGACTGTCCAGTGTGCTTGCTTTGGGAGCAGGCTTGGCAAGAGGCTGGAAGTCGGGGAGGTGAGTGGAAGGGGCTGAGCTTGACCAGGGTGCCGAGGTGGAGATGGGGACGAAGAGACTCCAGTGCTGTCTGGAGGCTGAGGGAAGAAGGGGTGAGGGAAAGCAAACTCTGGAAAAGAAGGTTTGGGATGAGTTTGAAAACCCTCAAGACAGGCAGGGGAAAGGGACGAGGAGGCCAGTGGGGTTGGAGCTGGGGTGGAGGACAGCAGGGAGGGGAGTGGAGACAGGGCCATGTGAGTCACGCTCCCGGGGGTCGGTCAGCACGACTTCCACGGAGGAGCCACCGAGTCAGGAGCATGGGCCGTGGGGAGCCGTGGAGGGGGAGGAGCTTCCCTGTGGGGGGAGAAGAGTGCAGCAGGAGGACGAGGGGGACAGGGAAGGTCACAGGTGGCAGCAAGAGGGGGAAGGCCAGGCTGGAGGGGCAGGAGATGGGGTGTTGGGGGGATCCCAGCATATCCAGCCTAGAGGACAGAGAAAGAGCAGCAGGGATGAGGCCTCACTTCCCCTCTACATGCCCAGAGCCAGCTCCTATGCTGGGTTCATGGCGGACCCAGGAGTGGCGGGTTCCCCATGCGGGCGATGCTGAGTCTGTAATTAAGAGGCTGGGAAAGGAATGTGGGCTGCTCGCGGGCTATGTGAACTGGAAGCAGATTCCTCTCCCATGCTGAACTCAGAGGGTGTCGCAGGCCACTGCTGCGTGGAACCCAGGTTGGAAGGGCCAGTCGGTGGAAAAGCATGGGCGCTGGGGCCGGGCTCATCTGATGTTAACCCATCCTCCATCTCTGCCCAATTATTGGCTTCAACTCCTAACTTCTGGGAACTTCAATGTCATTATCAAGAAAAATGGAGATGGCCAGGCGCGGTGGCTCACACCTGTAATCCCAGCACTTTACAAGGCTGAGGCGGGTGGATCATCAGGTCAGGAGATCGAGACCATCCTGGTCAACATGGTGAAACCCCGTCTCTACTAAAATACAAAAAATTAGCTGGGCATGGTGGCGCATGCCTGTAGTCCCAGGTACTCAGAAGGCTGAGGCAGGAGGATTGCCTGAACCCAGGAGGCGGAGGTTGCGGTGAGCCGAGATCGTGTCACTGCACTCCAGCCTGGCAACAGACAGAGGCTCTGTCTCAAAAAAAAGAAAGAAAAATGGAGACAACAGTACTTGACTACTTGACTTGGGCTTCTTCTCCAAGTTCAAAGAGACAGACTACAAAGCGCACAGAGCCGTGTGCACCAGGGAGCCCAGCGAAGATAAGGGTCACCGTCGCCGCGTCCAGCTTGCGGACGTCCCCGCCACTCCATGTTCTGAGGACTGAATCTGTGTAGGCAGCACTAGGCTGCCTGAGGCTGGAGTTTCTAGATGGCCCAGGGAGAGGAGAGGAGGCAGGCCTCGTGGTGGCTGCAGTCCTCAGAACTCAAAGACATCATCAGGTCTAAAGCTCACACAGATTGCTTTCTGAGTCTCCTTGCTATTTCCAACACTGAACAGGGACAAGCCTCTGTTTCTACGGTCGGCAGTCGCAGAACGAATGGAAGCCGCAGAACAGGGCAGAGAGGTCTGACCAAGACCAGCTCTTGCTACTGTTTTACCAGCACACTAGCAATAAAGGTCTCCCTAGAAAGTGCTCCTCACAAACAGCAAAAGCAAACCGGACGCTGGTTCACAACCACAACCATGGCGTGGTCCCGAGTGGCGCACTGCAGGAGCTGTGGGTGCTGCCGAACACACGCCGGGGCCGTGGCAGCCCACCTGCCCAGGAGCCAGAACCGGAGGACCGCGGGCAGCACAGGGTTTGGTGCCGCGATGATCCCATTTGCAAGGAAACATCGTCAATGCAGAGTACTGGGGAAATGTTAGTACTGTTTCTTTTTCTTCAAACATTACATTATCTTCCTGCTTCCTTTTGTTGATTTACATTTTTTAAAAACTGAAGCCAACATAAAGCAAAATTACTTTTAAAATAGGATTGGCTTTTAGAAAAATTTGTATTTGTACTTAGAACAACAAAAAATCTCCTGTTACAGACCACCCCAGGATCTATGGAAATGACAGCATTAAAGGGTGGTGAGCTTAATGACTTACTGAGATTTATTTTCACCTGTGGCAACTCAAACTAAAGATTAATCATGGTGGCCAGCATGGTGGTGGACGCCTGTAATCCCAACACTTTGGAAGGCTGAAGCTGGTGGATCGCTTGAGGCCAGGAGCTCAAGACAAGCCTGGCCAACATGGTGAAACTCTGTCTCTACGAAAAACACCAAAGTGAGTTGGGTGTGGTGACGCGTGCGTGCAGTTCCAGCGACTCGGGAGGCTGAGGCAGGGGGCTGGCTTGAGTCCGGGAGTCGGAAGCTGTGGTGAGCTCTGATCACACCACTGCAATCCAGCTGAGGTGACCACATGAAAACAGAACTGCTAAGGTTACTGAACTTCATTTGCCTTGTATACAAACGGAGTGCTTGGACAAACCAGAAAAGCTGCTTCCTAAGAGAAGATTCTCCAGTGCAGCCCTGCAGAGCCGGGCACTGCAGCCCAGGGTACCTGGGTCCCTGATGGGCAGGGCGGTTCTGAAGTCCCCGGTGTATATGGTATGTATGGCATCACTCTAGTGTGTCATTCTGCCATCCCTTGGTCACGATCCTGTACTTCTAGGTCCCAAATTCTATTTGTTAAAAAAAAAAAAAAAAAGATATATGGAGAGCGAGCAGACGTCCTAATGAAATGCTCACGCTGATTTGTGACATCTAGGAAAAGAGACTAAAACTTTATCCCATAAAATCACTCTTGGCCAGGTGCAGTGGTGCACACCTGTAATCCCAGCTACTCGGGAGGCTGAGGCACGAGAATCGCTTTAACCCAGGAGGCGGAGGCTGCAGCGAGCCGAGATCCCCCATCCACAGGAGACTGGATGAAGAAGCTGCGACGTACAGGCATCACGGAACACTACTCCGCCAGAACAAGAAGAAAATCGTGTCTTTTGCAGCAACGTGGGTGAAACAGGAGGCCATCATGCTAAGTGGAGTCACTCAGAAACAGAACACCAACTATTGCATGTTCTCACATCTGCATGAGTGGGAGCTAAAGGACAGGCCCGCGGGGACACACAGGTGGAATAACGGACGCTGGAGACTCCAAAGGTGCCAGGGGCTGAGGCTGAGAAATGACCAATGGGACAACAGGTTCACACGAAGCCTGGACTTCACCACTACGCAGTGACGCACGCAAGAAACCCACACCCGCATCCCCTGGGTCTGGTTAAAAGGGCCGAGTAAATGAACACATAAATATCACCGTCAGCTTTCTCCTGAAAAAGGAAGAAGAGGAAAAGTCACTTTCTCCCCTCTCTTCCATAACATAGGCACTCTTCATTCCTCTGCCTGGGAGTGCACACAGCCCCGAGTTCCAGGCGAGCTGCCGAGGCCAGAGGACACACGCACCTCGCAGACCACGAGAGGCTGGAGCCCCTTGTGAGAAGACAGTGTCCAAAGGACCCCATCAATGCAGGGTCTGGGCCAAACAGCAACTTTTTTTTTTTTTTTTAATGAGACGGAGTCTTGCTGTGTCGCCCAGGCTGTATTGCAGTGGCAGTGTCTCAGCTCATGGCATCCTCTGTTGCCTGGGTTTAAGTGATTCCCCTATTCCCCTGCCTCAGCCTCCTGAGTAGCTGGGACTACAGGCATGCGCTACCAGGCCCGCTAATTTGTTTTTTGTATTTTAGTAGAGACAGGGTTTCACCATGTTGGTCAGGATGGTCTCAACCTCCTGACCTCGTAAACTGCCTGCCTTGGCCTCCCAAAGTGCTGGGATTACAGGTGTGAGCCACTGTGTCCGGCCCAAAACGGCAATTTTTAAAAACACTGTTAACTTCCTTCTTGCTCCTCTGTTGATTTATATTTCTAAAAGGCAGAGAGGATATTGAGGCTGGAAAGCAGGACAGGCCTGTTACACGCTCACACAGGAGAGGCCACAAATCAGCCGGGCCTGATGAGACACCGCGAGACCCTGGAGGGCCACCCGCCACTGCCCTGGCTCAGGGATGAAGTGGTGGGCTTCGGAAAACCATCGAGTGTGTGAGAAAATCCCCTTTCCCTTAAGTAATGTTTTCTGACTTGCCAAGGCACTAGAGAATAACTTAGGGATGACAGGGTCCAGGCTTTGGGAAAAATAAAGGCTCCTAAGAGAAGGTGTGGGGAAGTGAGCCGAGTTAATGAGAAAGAAGCCGGCCCTGGGGGCTACATCAAATGAAGCCCATGACCTGTTATACTTCGTCTTTCCCTGCTTTCTTGTTAAGTAGAGGTTCGTCCGGGGATCCTGGCTGGGCACAGCCAGGAGACAGATCCTCCCAAAAGGGGAGGAACCTGCCACTCACATCTGCTGAAAGACCACGCGGGAAGTGCCCCACACCCTTGCCAGAGCTGTCTTCACGTACGTCACCGTCAGAAAGCTGTCTCCTGCAGGTCTTCCCTTCCCTGAGGGAGTGTGGGTGGCTAACGGGACATTAAAGAAGGCCGTTTACAAAAAGATCATTTGCCAGACCCAAAAGAACGGGACTTGATGTACTTGTATGTACCCCACTTTGGAGAGGCCGATTTTACTCCTTCACGTTGCTCAAATAGCAGGAAGGTCAGTGGGAGGACCAGCGTCTTCTGAGGGACATCCTGGGGACCCAGGCAACCAAGAGGAGCTGTGGGGCCCTGCCTGGGTAACCCGTGCTGCCGTTGGCCCCGATGGCTCCCACAGCCAGGTGCCGTGCGGCACTCGCCGGGGCGGTGGGGGGGAAGCGCAGGCTCCGCCAACCACCGTGGGTTGCGCTGTGGCTCTCGCTGCGTGTTTTGGTTTTGAACATCAGCGGGTTTATTTGTTTCCAGCTCATCCTGTATCTCAGGATGGTCTTAAACGAATCTAGGTGCATACGCAACAGTAAGAATGTCTGCATTCTTTTTACAATGTCCAGAAAGCAGTCATAATATACCAACGGCAGCAAAAATACACACTGGGCAATGTGGCACAACTCCGTTTTACTTTGTAGAGATGGAGTCTCCCTATGTTGCCTAGGCTGGCCTTGAACTCCTGGGCTCAAGTGAGCCTCCTGCCTCGGCCTACCAAGGAGCCGGGACCATGACACCAGGGCACCCGGCTGGCACACTGGGTCTTGGCTGCCCACCTGAGACAATGCCAGTGAGGAGGGCAGGCATGAACGTCTTCAGCATGTTCATGTGCACCGTTCCTTCCCAACTCCTCTTTCGCTGCCTGAGACTCCTGGGGCAAAGTCCTGAACGAGGTAAGCCTCAGTCCTGCAGCACACTTGTGAGCGGGCTGCCACGGCTGCCACGGCTCCAGCACACTGAACGGCAGAAGGGAAGGTCGCTGAACCACGGCATGACAGAGATAAACTGGCCCCGGTTTTCTAAATGATCTCAGAGGCGGAATGAACATCTGGTCTAGTGAAGACAGATGGTGCTGTCTGTCACTGTGGTTCACGGCCCTAATGGGAAGGTGTGAGCTCTGGAAGGAAGCAGGCAGGTGGGGGATGCTGCTCATCCCCCCACTTCATGGAGGCCCCGCCACGTATTGGGAAGGCGAGGACCCAGCCCTGCCGACTCTCAGAAAGTAGCACCGCATGTGGAGGTGGGCTCTGCCCGCGCAGGAGGGGAGCCAGCCAGGTCTAAACTGGAAAGAGAGGGGCCTTCTCACTCCCCCACAGCCACACACAGCTTCTCGCCCAAGTCCAACAGCACCATCCCAACGAACCACAAAAAAATCTTTCCAGCTTTTAAAGTGAGTTATTAGACCTTGAAATCTATACTGACCTGTGGGTTCTAAACTCCTCTGACTCTGACCCAGCCCACACACCTCCCCACAAACACACATTCACTGAAATCGAAGTTCTGTGGAATCCTTCTCCCTTACTACCTGTGACGAACTCTTCAATTTCCGTGACCTCCATCCTATCTCAGTGACCAAAAATCAGCCGGCAGGACCCACGACACTGACCTCCCAACCCACGAAAAGGTCACAGCCTGCACGTGAACAGCACTGACCCGTGTGCGCTGGCATCCGAAGGGTGTGTCCCTAAAGGGCCTATTTGTTGAGCAGCCGGGACAGCCCCGTGCAAAGGAAGGGCGGCTGGCTTCCAGATCTGCGTGTGCCACTCAGCATGTAACCTATGGGCTGGGACACAAAGCCCGCTCCGCCGGTCAGCACCTGCTCAGGGAGCCTCCTCCCTCCTCTCCCAGGATTCACCAACAGCTCCTGTCCTTCCTGAGAGAAGGAAGCCGTGATGTGGGGCGCCTGCTCTGAAGCAAGGCCCATCTGGAGCGGAACCTCAGCAATTCCTAAAGTGGAAATGGTCACCGGGGAGACGGGATGACGGACTGGCTGATGACTCCCCAACCCCAAATTTACACTCAACTGAGGGTGGAGGAGGGGAAATCAATGTCTTTCGAGGAGGGTCCTTTAGGAGCGAATGCACAGTCAGCCCAGTGACTCCTGCCTGGAGCTGTGTGCTCTGCTCGCCTGAATGCCACCTTGCCCACGTGCCGTTACCTTCAGGGCAGAGGGGCTGGGTTGTTGCAGACCCACAGGGCTCAGGGAGAGAGAAGGCAGCGCTGGCGGCTGTGCAGACTTCTGGCTTCCTTCCTGCAGGACCTTGGTAGTCCGGCTTGGTCTGAAAGACTCACCTGCAGGACGATGGGCAGCTGTTCAGGTGGGTTCCGGTTCTCCACGCCCATGGTGAGCCACACCTGGAATGCGGTCAGCTGCTCGGCGAAGAACGGGCTGTGCTGCGGGGCAAGCAGAGCAGGCGCTTGTTAGGGCCACATCCCAGGACTGCCTGGCCCTGCCCACCCCGCCACCTGCCGGCCATCCAACACTTCACGAAGGGCTCGCCCTGCAGGGCTGCGAGGATGCCAGGCAGCAGCTCAGACACTGGTGCTCTGGGCATGCCACGGAGGGACAGCCTGGGGGACACGTGAAGGCACCAGAGGTGGGCAGGAGAAGGGAGAAGCTGAAGGTGACTCTGAGACCTTTGGCCTGGGCACCTGCTGGGGGGCTGGGGCAGCAAGAGGGGCATGCTAGGAACCCAACCGTGGATACGCGGTGCTCAGGACAGTGGCTGGACAAGGGAGTGAAGGCGTCAGGGGGCAGGGGATCCCATGAGCGTGCAGGTCAGGGGGCAAGTCTGGCTGCGGACACAGGGAGTCGTGGCGTGGGAATCTTTTTTTAAGTTAAGTGAGAAAGGAAAGGGACCCAGGATGGAGCCTCTGCTATGAGGACCAAGTGGGGTGGGGGTGGGGGATGCAGCTGGACGGAGAAGGCCCGTGGTGAGACCAAAGAAATGCATGGGGTCGGACTGCCAGGTGGCATCCAGGCCCCCTGGGGGGGGACCACAACTCTCCGTGGGCCACGGCTCCCTGTTAGCTCAGCCATGTGCATGCAGGCAGAGTGGAGGGGATTCGTTTGGGTGCCGTGGAGCGGGTGGGCGAGGGCGGGTCTGCAGGCAGTGGCGCTGTTGGGCCCAGGGCTAGAGAGGGTGAAGGCCGTGGGGGAGGCTGCCGTCAGAAGGAGGTCTGGGAACTGAGTGTCCAGGCAGGAGAAGGCCAGCCTGATTCCCTCCACGGAGAGTCACTTCCACTCAACACACAGTTCTGCCTTCCCCAAGCCCCAGATACCAAGAATTAAAAAACAAACAAACCGACCAGCCTCTCTCCCCTCCACTGTCCTCTCTGCCCTACGTTGTTTTACTTTGCTCAGGGGGTAGTAGGGGGCCACAGGCAGAGGTGAGTCTCTGTGAGAGGAGGTCGGGAGGGCATCCTGCCTGCCCTCACCTGGCCAGGGTTGGCTATGCTGACCCCCAGGTCCCAGTGAATGTGGACGGACACATGAACGCCAGGGGAGGGCATGGTGCTTCCGTGGACCCAGGTCCGGGAGCGCCCTCGGCAGCCTCCACAGAGGCGCCTGGTGGGCAGAGCCCCGTGCCTCCGCTTAGAAAGTCAGCTGTGACCATTTACCACGTAGGCATTGGAGCTCTGTGTAGCCAGCTTACGTAAAGTTAATCACACTTAGGGGCAACCTGTGAGCTGGCGTGGAGCCCCCAGAGTGATTTTCCTGTTTTCAAGTGTGAATTATTCATAAATGGGTGCAGTACGCCCTCCTCCACATTCCGTGAGATGCGGTTCTCCTGAGTTAGAGAAGCCTTGTCCGTGAACGGAAGGCAGGTAATTCAGGTAATCACGGCTCTTCTCTCTTTCACATGAGCTCTGCCTGATGGATTTCCACATGATGCTCACTGCTGGAGTCACCACCCCATCCAGAAAGAGAAAAGTTCCTGACTGTTCACCTAAAACGGACAAAAGAGGGAAAGCACACCTTTGCCCGGCAGGTGCGCAGGGAGGTCTGCGAAGCTCCCTGAAGCCACGGGGAGGCTGACAAATGACAGCAACCGCCCGTGGAGGAGTGGCCAGCACTTCACATGACGCTCCAGAAAACATGTCTCCACCCGTGAGTCACACGCTGATGCTCTGGGCCAAACTGCTGACATCTCCTCTGCCCCATGAAGAGCGCCTGTGCTGGCCCCCGTGTGCAGGGGAGCGAAGCCCCTTCAGCAGGACGGAGAGCATGCAGGACCCCTGGGGCTGGGCGTCTGAGTTGCCCGCCACGACCACACACCTGGCTCTCCCAGGGCGATTCGGATGCCAGGAGTTTGGCTCTGTGGTCAGCCTGTGTGACAGGCAGTTTGGCATATTCTAAAAACAGGGGCAACGGACTGAAGATGGAAGGCCGGCTGAGAGGCTGCAAGCCTCCGCGTCGTACTCAGGGTAGCCAGTCCAGCTGACTTCTGCTCCCGTCACCCTGAGCACACCTGCTGCCGGCCGCTGTCCTCACCATCCAGACATTCTGAGACACTGGGGTCCATCCTGACAGCGGCACAATACATGTGCCACTTATGACCAGTTTGCTGCTTAGAGAGGGGACCTAGAGTTCACTGCCAAGGGGACACTGTCCCCTCTGTATGGCTCTGTGTGGACCCTGTCCCCTCTGTACGGCCCCGTGTGGACGCTGTCCCCTCTGTACGGCCCCGTGTGGATGCTGTCCCCTCTGTACGACTGTGTGTGGACGCTGTCCCCTCTGTACGGCCCCGTGTGGATGCTGTCCCCTCTGTACGGCCCCGTGTGGACGCTGTCCCCTCTGTACGACTGTGTGTGGACGCTGTCCCCTCTGTACGGCCCCGTGTGGACGCTGTCCCCTCTGTACGGCTCCGTGTGGATGCTGTCCCCTCTGTACGACTGTGTGTGGACACTGTCCCCTCTGTATGGCCTGTATGAACATTCTGCCGCTCGTCTATTCCACCCCTATGTACAGCTGCTCATTTTGCAGAAGGGTTCTTTTTAATACCCCCAAGAAAGTCAATTGTCCCAAGCCTTCCACTGCAGGGGAATCCTTCTGGCTTCTCTTCCTACCCCAATATACCCAGTTTTTTTTTTTTTGAGACAGAGTCTCATTCTGTTGCTGAGGCTGCTGTGCAGTGGCGCGGTCTTGGTTCACTGCAACCTCTGCCTCCCGGGTTCAAGCAATTCTCCTGCCTCAGTCCCCCAAAATCCCAATTTTGATAGGGTTCTATGTCACTATTAATAGAGAGAAATGAGAAAATGCAATTTTAAACGATACCACTTACAACCATTTTGAGGGAGAAGGCTCAATACTGTAGAGGTGGTGACTTCTCCCAAATCGATCTGTAGATTAATTGTAATCTCAATGGAATCCAGTAGGTTCGTTGCAGAAATTAACACACTGAATGTCAAATTCACATGAAAATTCAAAGGACCGAAAATGACCAAGGCAACCTCGGGAAAGAGGTGAAGTTGCAGGCCACCAGTTGAGAAAGTGTCATATAGAGCTTGTCATCACGGTCCTGGTGCAAGGACCAAGTGAGCAAAGGGACAAGCAAAAGAACAGAGGCAGCCACACGGACACGGTCCTCAGCGCAAACAAGGAAACAGAGGCAGCCACGTCTACACGGTCCTCGGTGCAAACGAGGAAACAGAGGCAGCCACAGGGACACGGTCCTCGGTGCAAACGAGGAAACAGAGGCGACCATGTCTATACGGTCCTTGGTGCAAACACCAGCAGTAAGCTGAGCATTCATGGGGGACGTGACCTGGGAGCAGATGCAGGTCCAGATGTGAAGGGAAACACACAGCCTGCTAGCAGAACATCTTCTCAGAATGCCCATCTCAGAGGAAACAAGGGTTCCATCAAACAGGACACCAAAAGCCGGAACCATAAGGGACAAAGATTTGACTAATTAGATGTCGTTAAAATAACGCGTTTCTGTTCATCAAGAAAAAAACATGTAAAAGTGAAAGTCCACAGAGCGAAAGAAGTCATTGGTGATAACGGGACAGATGATCTGTCTTTGGAGCAGACACAGAACCACAGCAGGTGAGTAACAGACAACACGACGGAAAAACGGCCAAACGCCTTAAACAATTTACAAAAGAAGACCGTCAAAGGGTCAATAAAAACATGAAACGCTGCTCCACTAACCATCAGGGAAATACACGGTTAGCTCTCAAGGAAATACCTTTTCATACTGAACCATCATAGCCAAATAAATACACAGGAACGAAAATTCTCGCATGCTGCAGGCAGGGGTGAAAGCTGCCCCCGCCACTTGGCAGAATCTCCGGCAGTATCTGTTAAAGCTGAGCATGGGCAAACCCGGGACCCCGAGGCATCACTCCTAGAAATGTGCAGGAGGGGCCAGCCCCTGAATGGGAGGACGGCCAGGAAGGGGAGGCCAAAAAAAATCAGTCATAAACACACATAATATTTCAGAGCAATGTTTCCAAAGATAAAAATTAATACAAAAATCCGTAACAAACAAGATAGCGACATTTCTGTGATGAGGATCACAGAATTGCCTTTTGTCTCAGGCTCTGCTGCGATGGTCTGGCCCTAGCCAGCGGTGCCCCTGAGGGCTGAAAACTGGAAACTGAAAACGCCCAGTGGCCTGGAAGGGACACAAGAGTGTTGGCACACTCAGACGACGGTGTTCACCCTGCAGTAAGAGTGAGCTGACTCAAGCCACGCTGAGTGACGGCAGGCAGACACAGAGACTGCGTCCTGCGTGAGTGACTCCATGGACCCAAGCACACCACCAAGCAGGAGGGCGGCCACTGTAGGGGGAAGGGAGGAGCTGGGGGGGCGCGGAGGGGGCTCGAGGGCGCTGCTGGGCTTGGGTGTCGTTACGCGAGTATGTTCCGCCGGAAACATCCAGCAAACTGTAAAAGCATGACGTGTACACTTTTCTATATGTATGTGGTACCTCCAATAAGATAAAAACAGAAACAACCCAGTGTGTGGTCCACGTCAGTTACCCCCACCTTGTCCTGACACCCCAACATGGTGAAATCATTCCTAAATGCAGAATATTAATTCTAGTATGTTAGAAATGATAGAGTAAAATCCTTGAAAAGATACTTGGCAAAGATGCCTGGCACAGAAACAGAAGCATTCGTTTAGAAAGAGCACACATGCAAATAGAAACTGCATTATTTTATATAAAAGCAGATCGTTCTGATCTCCTACAAGTACCCAGTGAAGCCTCGCTCCAAGTACAAAAAGGCCATTTTCAGGAAGGTTTCCAAATTTCTGTTCGCGGCAACAGGCCCAGAGCGCTTCGGAAGAGCGCAGGCATCCGGCCGCTCTGCGGGACACCCTGTCCTTCCCCCAAGGTTTGTGGTCCAGCAGGGAGGGAGGGAAGGCCTTTATCTAGAAGCCCAATGTTGATGCCAAGCACATGGAGGGAGCTGGATTCGGCCTCGCGGTTTAATCGCAGGGCAGTCTGCAACGCCCTTGAGGACGCAAGAACACAAAGACGGAGGAGGAATAAGTGGTGGGTGTGGGTGCTCACTGTAAATTTCTTTCAACTGTGCTCTAGGTTTGAAAATTTTCACAATCAAATGTTACCAAAAAAATTGACCAATAAGGGGAGGGTACTAGATGGTTATAAAGGAGAAGGACGTCCTCTTAAAAGGCCGTTTTCCCAGTCACCCTAGCCTTGGCAGCAGGTCCAAATCATCCAAAGAGTTAAAAGATCCCACACACGTACATCAGCCACACCCAGGCCCCGGACGACCGTGATGTGCACTACAAGTCACAGTCTGCGCAGTGGACGGAGCCCTTCCTGACCATCAGTGCCTCTGCCCGGGGCTGGAGGGCGACGCCCTGGCATCAGTGACAGCGTCTTCGGGGCAGCGGCCTGCACGAGTTCACAAGGGCCCTGTGCTGGGCTCCATCCAAAGCGCTTTCCCACATTAACTCACTTTGTCCTCCCAGTGCTCCTGATGTTGGATACCACCATAATCCCCCCTTAAGTGAGGAGACTGAGACACAGGAGGCCACCAAACCTGCCCTCGGTGGCAGTTATGCGTTCCGTGTGGTCCCCGTGGCTCTCAGGCTCGACACGGTGTTGTCTCAGGCGTGGCAGCAGCGGGAGGTGGGGAGGCTCGTCCCCCCTGCCTTGGCCAGGCTGCCACCCCCTCCAACCCTGGCCTCCCGTGACTGCCGCGCCCTCTGCCCATTCCTCCCTTGCATTCTTCACGGATGTGACGGGCTCCTCTTTCCTCACAGGTTCCTAGGGGGCAGGCCTCTGTCTTACTCATCTATTTTCAGACTCGATGCCTCACATAAGGCAAAAGCTCGCGAAGAAATCACAAGGGGGTCCTGGGGAGCTGCTGCGAAGCCCAGGGTCACCCTTGCTTGCAGCTGCTGGGAGGAAAACAAGATTCCAGCCTAGGGGAGCTCAGCTCTCCAGCGCCCGTGCAGTGCAGCCAGGGATTGGACGGCCCCCCAGGGCTCAGCACCAAACCCTCCTCGGGTCACTGCCCCACGGGGCTGAGAGTCAGAGGACTCGGGGAGATCTACAATGCATTCGTGGTGAAAGGCTATTTTCATGTAACGCGATCACCACTCACAGGCAGTGAACCTGCGTTCAGAAAAGCAGATCGGTAATAGCAACATTTTGAGACGGAATCATTTTAAATGGTGATTCTTTCAAAGTCTACCTTTAACCCCTGGTTGACTCGACGTTTTAAACTCTGGCAACTACATTTTTTCCAGGCTGGTGAACAAAATATCTGACACTCCAGGGTCCTGGGACCACTCCCAGCCTGGGGGCTGTGCAGTCCGGGTGCCCAGAGAAGTAGCCGCCACCATAGATGTGCAGGATGCCCTGGGAGGGACTCACCCTGAACGCGGTGCCCTCCTCGATGATCGTTGGCAGCTGAGACAGACAGATGTCGACAGCCAGGTCCCAGGCTTGCCTGTGGAGAGAACAGAGGAACACCCACTGAGCATGACGGATGGGCTCCCACCAGAGGGCACTTCGCAGGGCACAGGAGCCGGCTCAGCTGGGCAGCAGGGTCGGGGCAGAGGCCATGGGTGCTGGTGGGGGCATGTTTACAGTTTCACTGTTGTTCGGATTTAGGCTACAGAGGATGTCCGAGGGGCGGCCAGGAGGGTGGAGACCGGGGGTTGGTGCTGCCAGCGTTCTCACCATTTTGTTTGTCACATTTTTTCTCTTTAAAATAAAATGAGAAAAAAGCCTGGGAAAAACAAAGGAATGCTTCCCATTTTCTGCTGTGGTTTCTGACTGTGCCTTGAGCCCATCTAGCGGCAGCCCATACGTTCCGTGTGGTCCCCACAGAGGCTCTGAGAGGACAGCATCCCGGAGGAAGGTGGAAGAGACACCAGGGCCAGCCAGAGTGCCTCCTCAGGAGGGGTCAGTGTGAGGCTGGGGAAGGGCGTCCTGGCAGTCAGGGCTGAGCCCTGCGCTGTGATGCTGCTGTCAGCCCCAAGACCCCCACGCCCGAGAGGTCTGGACCTGGGCTCCTGAAGGCCAGGGTGTGCTGGTGACCTCACAAAGCACTTGGAGATGTGATTCTACCCTCGAGGACAAGACCAGCAGGGCTTGTTCGGGGTGAGAGGCAACAGTCCCTCTGAGAAGTGGAGTCAGCCACGGTCACCAGTTTCCCACGGCATCGAGACCTGTCTCAACACACAGAAAACGGGAGCCACTCCTCCACAGGGCACCTGGCTGCGCCTGGCAGGCTCCATTCCAGAAAACACGGTCCAAGTCCCTGGTGCCCAGCAGGTGCCTGTGTCTTATTCCTGCGTCAAGATGGCCTTTTGGGTTTGGTTTTTCACTCAGGCACCCCCAATGGGGATGATTTAGGTGGCTTCCACACCCTGATTCTATTGTAGGACCAGCAGGCAGTCTGAATTGGACCTAACACCTCTGGGCCAGGTCCTGGAATTCCCAGGTGTAGGCAACAGCCTTACCGGGCACCCCAGCACCATCACCACCTTCCTAACGTGGCCCTGCTAGGGCCTTGGTGTTGCCCATGGGGGCTGTTAGGACAGCCTCCTCCCAATAGGCCCCTTTGCTGGCACCTCCCTTCAGGCCAGCTGCCCTGTGAGCTTTCTCAGAGGCTGTAACATGGCACTTCTAAGCCTTTCTGTGGCTCTCTGCCTTCCTGTGGTACCCCAGGCCTGGCACACCCTGGCATCTCCAACATCTCCAGCCCTGTCTTACAGGCATCCCACAGGTGCCCTGGCATCCAGCAGTACTTCATTCCCAGTGCCAGGCATGTGGCAGGCTTTCAACACGCACTGGCGGAATGAGAGTGCAGGCGAGCAGGAACGCATGCTCTGTGCACGAGCAGCCCAGGATGAGATGTGAAAAGGAGACGGGAGAAAAGAAGGTCTGACTGCGAGCCATGATACTGGGCTCTGCTCCCAGCTCTGCTGCCCACCAGCTCTGGCCCAGGGAGCAGCTGACCTGCCTGCCTCGCCGCCTCGTCCAGAGGACCAGGGCCTGGCCAGGGGGCCCATGGGAGGCCGCTTGGTGAAATTCAGCATGTGGCTCTGGCGCCTTGGACACGTGGCTGTGTCTCTCCAGGGTCCATTTCACCATCTGTGAAATGGGGTCATGATCGTGTCTCCCTCACAGGGTCCTTGTAGAGTGGCTGACACAAAGCGGGTGTCGATCAGTGGCAGCTGCTGTCCCCCCCGGCCACAACAGCCAACACGAGCCCTAAACTGGAAGGGAATCATCACTTCACTCTCTGTACGGTCACAGAGCGAGTCTTAATTTCCACGATTCAGGCTAAGTATCCCTTTTTCAAAATGCCTGGGACAGAAAGTGTTTTAGATTCCTGATTTTTTTTACCTTTGGAATATTTGCACATACATAATGAGATATCATGGGGACGGGACCCAAGTCTAAGAACAAACTCCATTTATGGTCTATATACCTCTTACACACAGGGCCTGAAGCCAATTCCACACAATAATATTTCATATACCTCTTACACACACGGCCTGAAGCCAATTCCACACAATAATATTTCATATACCTCTTACACACACGGCCTGAAGCCAATTCTACACAATAATATTTCATATACCTCTTACACACAGGGCCTGAAGCCAATTCCACGCAATAATTTTGTGGATGAAACAAAGTTTGTGCATGCGAGGTCGGGGGGGGGATTGTCCACTCGCCGCAGCATGGTGGCCCTCACAGTTTTGGGTTTCGGAACGTTCTGGTTTTCTGAATTAGGGGCGCTCAACCCTCATGGCAGGGATGGAGGGAGGACACCAATTCCTTCAGCCCTACTGTCCCTTTCTCGTAGAAATGCGTTCCTTGAGGAAACCCCGGGATGATCAGTATAATGCTTCCTGCTTCTAGCTCTGCCATCTCTTCTCCTGAGTAATTTCCTAAGAGACTTGAGGACCCCGTGTTAGTTTGTTGGCTAATGACACTCTGTGCTGCCGTGTCAAAGGGCATATTTTCTCGATGTCTTAGTAAAGGACCAAAATAACAAGGAAAAATGAAAATCCAGAAAAAGAGTAAAAATTTAAGATGAACAAAGGGATGAAAGAACACTTTTACGCTTTCAAGGATATGAAATATACTTCACTTTCCCAAGACTGCCCTCTGCACAAACGCGCCCTTCCCCTGCCAATATAGTTAAGAAGCAATCAGCAGATCATCAAAAGCGTCTCAAAGCCCGTGCGATAAATAGCTCCCATATGCCCAATAAATCCCCAGGCTGCAGGCAAATGGCATTCAGCGGCATTGAGGGAGATTTTACTCTTGGTTAAGACAGAAGCAGTCAATTACTGCAATTAAACTCTATGAAGATTCCTTGAATTTAATCAAATAAAAAGATTCTGCTTCAGAAGTTAGAAGAAACTGTGTACGAGTTAGGGGAGGAGGAGATGAGCAGAGGACAGAGAGGGCGTTCGGGCCGTCGGCCAAGGGGCCCAGCGTGGCGCCTGGCGTGGCCTCGGTCAGCACCTCCCGTAAAGCCTACTCGCATGCTCTCCAAGGCCCTAGCTTGGTGTTGAAGGCCTGACCTGCGCTGGAGACATCACTCGGCATTCGGGACAGAGTACTGCCCAGGGAAGCTGTGTCAGAGCCACTGGTGGCAATCCTGCTCGGACGTGTGACCCATGTCGCTGCAGCGGGCCGCTGGGCTCCTAGAAGGCTGAGAGCCCACCTGGATCCAGCCGGGGGTGGGAGGCGGGGACTGACCCAGCTCCACATTTCACAGACCAGAAAAGCAGCCCTGGATGGTCTGGTTTCACGGACACACAGAGGCTCGGAGGAGGCTGAGGGGATGAGCAGAGCCCAGGTGTGGGCGCCGTGGCTCAGGGCGTGGGACGTTGCACGCAGGCTGCTCCGGGCCGTGGACTCAGAGCTGTCTACAGGAGAGGAGGAAAAGGGCTCTGTTCAAGTCTAATGAGAAGAAAGATGTAAAGAACCTACAGACTGCTGCAAGACAAACGCTGGAGCTCGACTGTCAGCTCCCAGGGCAGCTGCTCGGAACCTCACGCCGCGCCTGGGCCTGGCCCTGGCCCTACTGACAGCCCCACTCACAGCAAGGCAGGGAAGACAGGAGTTCTGGGAGGAGCCGGTACCCTGCGCAGCCTGCTGAGCAAGACAGAGGCCCTCTCTGGGCCTTGGTGGTTTGTTTATTTATTACCCAAAGGAAAGAATCAGATTAGATGAACTCAGAGCTCTCATTAAATTCTACAATTGCACGGCAATCTTTTTTTTTCTCTTTTTTGAGACTGAGTCTCACTTTGTCACTCATGCTGGAGTACAGTGGCGTGATCTCGGCTCACTGAAACCTCTGCCTCCCAGGTTCAAGCGATTCTCCTCCCTCAGTCTTCTGAGTAGCTGGGATTACAGGCATGCACCACATGCCTGGCTAATTTTTGTATTTTTAGTAGAGACGAGGTTTCACCACATTGGTCAGGCTGGTCTCGAACTCCTGACCTCAAGTGACCTGCCCACCTTGGCCTCCCAAAGTGCTGGGATTACAGGGGTGAGCCACTGTGCGAGGCCTGCACGGCCAACTTTTAAACAGCAGAGCAATGGTATTCTCTAATGAGCATTTATCTGTTGATTAAAACCGGCTGCATTTTCTAGGATAAAATCAACACAAACTTGCAGCTCTAATTTGGGATTCCCAGCTGAAGACAAGTGAGAGGGTGGGTCCTATATACACAGAGAGACCACGGTGGTGGGCTTCGGGAGCAGCCAGCACCAGGAGGTTTGGCACCGCACAACAGCAGAGGGTGGGAGGGGACGGGGAAGGTGTCTGGATTAGCACCTCCCACAGCAGTCGTGCAGTCAGGCTGCCTGGGGAACAGGGCTGGAGTGCTGGAGGGCAGGTCTGAGGGGAGGAGGCTGTGATTAGCTGTGACCGGGCTCCTCCCTCCGGCAGCTGCGGGCAGAGGGACTTTCTAAGCTGTTGGCTGCTCTGATGCGTCACTCGCCTGGAAAACATGTCATCCAGGCAAGAGCTGGGTTTTCAGGAAACAGCGCTGAGATGGCAGGCGCCCAGGAAGTGGGCTGGAGGAAAGCTGGCCAAGTCCGCACAGCCTCCATCTGCGCTTATCAATCAGGGAGCGGCGCCCGCCCCAGAACAGAAAGCCCAGGTTATTACCTCGGAGGAAGGCAAGGTTTCAGGACCCCTGAAATTGAAAGTGAAGGAGAATGACTCCCCAGTGACTTTGCATCAAAAATTAAACAGGAAACAGGCTCTGAGTATCCATCACTGCTGCCGCTGCCGAGCGTAAATGCAGATGACTTCATGTTTTAACCTCAATTTTTTTAGGCTTTGTTCCCTCTTTCTTCTCGCTAAAAATTCAACCTCTCCATCACCACACAAGGAATATAATAGCGAGACCGTGAATTATTTATTCCAAATGCTCTTCTGCTACGTTCCTGTGTGCTCCCTTGGGATGT